AAACTGCAGACTTCCCGATACGTCGGTGCTTCACGTCAGCTAAATGTTCTTTAACGCGGGTTTTAATAGATCTTTTTGTTTGTCCTATGTACGAGAGACCACATTCACAATCCAGCTTGTACACTCCTGCATCTTGTAGAGGGATATGACACTTGACGGATGGTAAAAATTGACCAATCTTCTTCAGTGGCTTGAAGTACGTTTTAATGGAAGCTCGCTTCAAGATGTAGCCTACCTTGTCTGTGACTCCTCTGACATAGGGTAGTACAGCAGGCACACGCTCGACTGTGGCTGGCTTCACTCGGTTACTGTGACGTAGGCGCGGGACCCGAAGCTTGTTGTCTTGCAGTACTTGCTCGACGTGCTGAAGCTCGGCGGCCAGATGTTTTCTGTCACAGATCCCTCGTGCTCTCTGAAACAAAGATTTTCCCACGGTAGCTAACTGTGAAGGATGGTATGGGTATTTTTTTTTGTTTTACTGTGTACAGAAAAAATACAAGACTTCCCTCTACAAGATGCAGGAGTGTACAAGCTGGATTGTGAATGTGGTCTCTCGTACATAGGACAAACAAAAAGATCTATTAAAACCCGCGTTAAAGAACATATAGCTGACGTGAAGCACCGACGTATCGGGAAGTCTGCAGTTTGTGAACATGTTCAAGATCGTCCCCGCCATTACATTAGATTTGATAGACCACAAATCCTCGCAAAAGAACACCGATTCCTCCCAAGGATGATTCGCGAGGCTATTGAAATTAAAAAACATCCTAATTTCAATAGAGAAGATGGATGGGTGCTGCCATCTGCTTGGGATCCCATAATTAATAAAATCAAATCCAAACCCAAGTATACTCGTACCACTGCTAGACTTCAAGATACTGTAAGCTCATTCTGCGTAAATCGAACCAAAAATTAATATTAAAAAACTGAAGGTAGCCGGGCTAACTATGACAGCAGGACGTCAAACAACTCAGTCCCCCGTGACCACGGGTGCTGGAAAGCACCCGAAACGTCGGGAATAGTGTTGCCCAAATGCAAGAACAAGACGAGACTTAGCAGGTCTTGGTCTTGGTCTTGCGCCAATACACCTGGTCTTGGTCTTGGTATTGCGCTCCAAGTCTTGGTCTTGGTCTTGGTCTTGCAGCAAGAGTCTCGTAAGTCTCGCAGTGAACTATTAGCCTATTACTATTTATTAAAATACTTTAGATCTTAGAACAACTTAACAGAGTAGGTACATATTGAGCTTGAATTAACATAGCCATAGTAAAGACCAACCATATTAATAAATGTCTAAACATTTAATGAGAAATTCGAAAAATCAACTGACACCGGGTGGGGTTTGAACCCACGACCTAAGCGGTCCGTGCCGATGCTCTAACCAACTGAGCTATCTACCGTGTCCCACGGCCATGGGCGTCAGTTTCATAATAAACGTTTACATTTAATAAGCTTACATGTGCTAAAACATGGTTAAACATACATATAAAAACAAATTAATGGCAATAACTACACTGTATTTTAAATAAAATTATCTCTCTAGAAAGAGATTGATGGACCCTCACCATATATGAAATGGAATAAAAGAGTTATACAATATACCATTTATTTAAATAAAAAATAAAATACGATGCAAATTAAATTACTTCACAATATGTACACAACAGCTTTGACATTACTGTTAGGTACTTTATATTTATTCTTTTGACAAAGCATTAATACAAAGTAACCATCTGGCTGACTCATCACTTAACCTATTTCTATGTTTTCTAATTACTAATGATGCTTTAGAAAATAATCTCTCAGCAGGTACTGAAGTTGCAGGTATTAAAAGAAAATCACGGGCCATCTTCGATAAAATCGGATATTTTGTCTCATGCGTCCTCCAACAGTCTAAAATGTCTTCCGAGATGACGGCTTTGGGTTTACCTAGGTACCCCTCCAACTCCTTAATAACTAAGCCTTGAAGACAAGATCCAGATTCATTTTTACACATTTCAAGTATTTTAAAAGTGCTATGGTGTCAACCATATTTATCAAATGTGTGACGACATATTCGAGCACTTTGTGTTTTAAAAACACACACTTGCAAAAGTCGAGATTTGCAGTGAACTTACTGAACATGTTTATCTTTTAGGTAATAATAATAACAATAATAGTAAGTAATTATTATAAATCCATATAGTTAATTTTATAATAATTACTTACTAGAATAAATTATTATGATACCTACCTATTATCTAATTACAATATTTCTTGCGAGATCAGGATAATGTATTCGTGTCCATTCTGAGCACCCGGAAACTTATTTTATTCTTTGAAACATGTACTCTGTGGCGGCAATCAAACAGTGTCAAATGTAGTGCGTGTGGCGCAGCGGCGACGATTGTATGCGATATCAATAGTAGCCGCCGGCACGTGTATCTTGCCCTTGTACTTTCGAATAGCTGCACAATTTCTTTGACAGGTCAGTATCCGACCTTTGATGACGCCGACAACAAGACGCCGCGCACTATCAAAGTGCCGATGGTCAAAATTAGGGATACACTCTTTTTTCTTTTAATGGATATTTTCATTCGCTATGTATATTTATGGTATTGTTCGTAATGCGCATAAGTCCAATTTTCCAATTTTTTTTTCATTATATTTTTTGCGTCTCATAGAGTCCCTAAGCGTATACCCGAACTCCTATACTCCCTGAAACGACACTTAGTCCTAACTGCAAGACGCAAGAGTCTCGCAAGCTAAGTCTTGTTCTTGCGCAAATCTTGCACGGTCAGTCTTGGTCTTGGTCTTGCTAAAAAGAGGCGGTCTTGTTCTTGGTCTTGGTCTTGCAAAAATGCAAGAACAAGACCAAGACTGCAAGACCAAGACCGATTTTGGGCAACACTAGTCGGGAATATATAAAAATAAGTTAATATACGCGAGAAAATCCGTAAAATTAGTTTTATTTAAAAAGTTTTTAATTGTCTCGAACACCAAGCTCGTAACAATTGGTGTCAGAAGGGGATCAAATCATGTCGATTTTACCAAAGGACAACACGGAGGGCATTCGTATCCGAAGTCAACGCCAGCAGAAGATGGACCAAAGACATTTGGTGGTGCAACGCCGCAGACGTCGGAGATCCAGCTGCTGACCACGGAGGTCGGCCCATCAGTACCTCCTGCATCTACAGCACCTGACTTAGGTGCTCTGATGATGATGCTACAGGAGCAGGCTCGCCGACAGGAGAAACAGCCTCGCCGGCAGGAGGAACAGGCCCGTCGTTTGGAAGAATAGCTCAAACGCGATAAGGAAGAGCAGACACTGCTCATGAAGCACCTTCACGCTACCTTCGGGAAAGAGATAAAAGAGGTGAAGGATAGGGTTGCTCAACATGACAATCGCCTGTCGGAAGCTGAAACCCGAATCGACCAAGTGAACAATCGGGTTGACAACGAACATCGGGGCGAAAAAAACGTTGGACGACCTGAAACTTGGGGATGGAATTACAGCTCCCGTGGTAGCTACAACACTTTTGATACGTGGATTCAAAGTGCCGCCGTTCGACGGGACTTCTTCCTGGTCGGCCTACAAAATCCAGTTCAAGAATGTCATGAAGTCGAACGGCCCGAATAAAAGTCCGGCCATGACTGCTCTCACCCTAGACCTGCGCGACCAGGCCTTAACTGTTCTGGAAGCTCTCGGTAAGTAAGTGACTTACAAGCAGCTTCTTGAGGCATTGCAGGCGAGAGAGATGGAGGCTACCCTGAAACACGTCTTTCGTGTGCAGCTCAAACATCGCGTGCAACGAAGTACGCGTGCAACGAGATGGAGAATCTGGTTCGAAAAGCATACCAGTTTGTACCTGCGCTCTTTGTAGGGAACCTGTTGCAGACATTCATCGATGGCATCTGTGATCTTGAAGTCAGAGCTGCTGTGAGGCTCGAGCAAAACGAGACGGTTAAGGCCGCCTTGGCCCATGTACTGGAGGTGGAAGCCGAGTGGCAGGATCATCATTCCTATCGCGTCAGGGAGGTTGCAGCAGCCACAGTTCACGACCGCAATAAAAGATACATCCCTAGGTGCCCTAAGCGAACTGTAGAAAGGGGAGGTGAACGATCGCACTACCCTCTCGAGATCAGCACTGCCCAGCAGTAGCAGGGAAACGACTAAAAGCCAGGACTGCGGGGCGGGTGCTGGCTGATATTAAAGAAGCCGCAAGGATTTCGATCTCACAAATTCATGATGGGAACAGCCTAATCATCAAGGGCGAGGTCAACGGAACGCCGTGTAAACTGACCATAGGCACTGGAGCCTCTCGCAAGGTTGTCAGTTCCCAACTTATAAGTCAGTTCCTTGAGGACTCCACATACCACCGAGAACGCATTAATTTGGTGACAGCCACCGGACAACTGCATCCTTGGCCTAGACTTTATGAGGAAGAATTGTTGTGAGATCGACGTAAATCAAGGTGTTTTGAAATGTCGACAAGAGGAACTTTTCGTGGAAGTGGTAACTGTGGAAACGATTGTGTCAGTTAGTCTTCCTCGGAATCCTGGACAAACTCATCGTTGTGTACTCGTGGAAAGGGTAGACAATGACCTTCCATGGAAAGTGGCTCGAACCTTGGTCAGAACCACCGACATCTCAGGAGTACGTGTGCTGAACCTTTGTGATCAGGAACAGATTATAGAAAAGGCGCACTGGTTGGTACTTGTGAGGAAGTGAATTGGTTACGTCGGTGCTAATATCTATCGACTGGGATTCCCAGCAAGGATGTACAAACAAGAGTGACCACACTTTTAGAAGACTGTCGCAGCGTTCTCGCCCCGAATGAAATGGTCAAGGCGAAGAAGTTGTTCCTCAATAATGCTGATGTTTTCTCGTCAAACGATGCTGACATAGGGAAGACTAGCTTAGTTGGAGACAAAATAAACACAGGAAGAGAATTGCCTATGCGTCAGCGGCCAAGAAGATTGACGATAGCACGTGAAATGGAAGTGGAAACCATGATTGAGAGATGATGGTGAAGGATGATGTTGATAAACCTTCATCTTGTCCATGGTGTTCACCTATGGTGCTGGTAAAGAAGAACGATGGCAGCATGCAGTTTTGTGTTGACTACTTCTGTCTGACCGACGTTATGAAGAAGGACAGCTATCCCTTGCCAAGAATTGATGACACGCTGGACATCCTTACAGGAGTAATGTGGTTTAGCACACTGGACCTGAAAAGTGGCTACTGGCAGTTCGAGATTGACCCTAAGGACAAGGAAAGGGTCTGTGAAAATTTAAAGTTATGCTGTTTGGATTGTGCAATGCTCCAGCAACGTTTGAAAGGTGGATGGAACTTGTACTTACCGGCCTAATTGGCGATGCCTGTCTGGTCTACTTCGATAACATCATCATCGTAGGCCGTACGTTTGACGAACACCTTCAAAACAAAAACAGAGTGCTAACCTCAAGTTGAGTCCGAAGAAATGTTCACTATTCAAAGGGTAAGTTAGCTTTTTGGGGTGTGTAGTGTCGGAAGAAGGTATCCGCGCGGATCCAGAGAAAATTGAGAAAGTTTGTGCTACTATTATCTACGATTTGTGAAGAACTTTGCAGATATAGCCAAACCTCTGCATAATCTAACCGAGGAGAAGCGACATTTCTGCTGGGATGAAAATTGCGATATCGCTTTCCAGGAGCTCAAGGGCCGTCTGTGCAATACACCTATTTATATGTATATATTATATCATTGTGCTTCATGTTTATATTCTTTCATCTGTCCCTGAAAAGTGTAGAGAAATAATAAACTTATTATCATTTTAGCCGCATGAATTTTAAAATACATAATGATCTTTATAGAGTAATGTGCACCAAGTGTCTGAGGATACATATGGATTCTCTGTTCTCTCAATATCGTTATGTTAAGAAAATGGTCACTCATTCATGGACTGACCATGGCAAGTGCAACTAAAACTCGCAAATTTATTGATCTGCGCAGCTATTACATAACCACGAGTTCCTCTTTAATATGACTAACGCTGTAGGAGATGAACTACACTATTTAAACCCTCGGCAAAATGTCATCGGCCATCAAGCATGAATCGGGCTTTGAGCGTTGTGGGTATCAAATACTATGGAATTTAAACTATTCGGGCACATTGAATCATGCAACTCATGTGCGGGCGCTTCAAGAGCATTACTAAATATATTAGATCTAACTACGCTAAAAGTTTTATCATTGTGACTTGGGAATATAAGCCGAAGCTCCGCAAAAACCCCTTGGGGGAAATTGCGTGATGCTACGAATATTTCACTAGTGTGACCGTGAAGTGCGGGTGGTGAAGTATATATATCTTATATATGTATATATAGATAATCTCAAGATATTTTATCTTTAATGAACTACAGTTTTATAATGTATATAAATCTGTCTCTTTTTTATCTAAAGTTTTGAAAGTTTAATTTTTGAAGTCTTATTATAACAATAAAAACTCTTTGACATATCGGTCGAACAAGTTACTTTGTTTTGAAAATCGCTCCGCATTTTTATATCAATAATCAGTGTTAAGTTCAACGAATCCTAAAAATCTTTGAATATTCTGTTTGTGTGGTATCTAAACAATAAGACTGTGAATAGTGTATAGTACAAACTGCAAAATTATAGCTGTTTTCGAAATAAAAGTGAACAACGATTTAACCACCAAGAAATTAATCACAAGTGTGGGGTAAGTGGTAAAGCCTGCAGCGCAGAGCATACGCGCGGTTAAGTGTTCGACGTAACCGTGAAAACCGTTTGCAGTGAGCGTAGCGTATCGCAGAGTTGATATTTTCAAAGACTAGTGCGGTGCATATTGGGCAGTTGGTTGAAATTTATATTCCTATTTCTGAGACGATATATTTATTACCTAACTGGCCATGAAGTGCGCAGGTTGTCTGAAGGTTACTAAGAATGCAAGTATCATTACATGTACATCGCCAAAATGCGAAAAAACATATTGCTCGTACTGTATTAATTTAACATCAGTTACAGGGGAGGGGAAAAAGTGCTGGAAGTGCCCCGAGTGTAGTGCTTCCAAAAAAAAAGGCGGCGATAACACCCAAACGCCAATACGCCCTAACCCAGATTCGCAAAACGTTACGATGCGCAAAAAGGATATCTCCGACTGTCAGACTCCTGAGGCAGAAATAAGAGAATTAACAGCGGTAATCGCTCGTTTAACTAGTAAATTTTCGACACTAAAAACAAAGTTGGAAGAAGTGACGCACTCTCTATGCCATTGCCATGAAAGAATGGACGAGTTAGTCCCGGGCATGTCAGCCAATGAAAATCGCTTGACAAAACTAGAAAAACGCGATCAGGAAATTATAAACTTGCATGCATCTGTGGCCCATCTACAGAATGAGCTGAATATACAAGCACAACAGGGGCTCCGCAACGAAATAGAGATCGTCGGTATACCAGAAGGTAATAATGAAAATCTAGAACATATTGTTAAGGTGGCCGCACAAAAAGTTGGAGCACAGTTGGAAGACGTCAACGTGGACTGGATTACCCGCGTTGGACCTCGGCGCCTGGCTGTACCACCTAATGTTCCAAATGGTGGCAGTAGAATGCCTCGACCCATCGTAGTGCGTTTGCTCCGGCGATCCAAGCGCGACCAGGTACTAAAAGCCTTCAAATCAAGAAAGACCCTCACCAGCGCAACCTGGGAATAATTGGCTCGCCGATAAAAAATTTTTGTAATGAACGACTTACGAAAGAAAATAGACTTTTATTTCGTGAAGCCAGAGCGAGAGCCAAAACCCATGATTATGCATTCTGCTGGTGCAGCCAGGGTGCAATATATATTAGAAAACGATAAGGGAAAGCTGCAACACTTATTAGAAGTAAACACGATCTAGACCGTCATCTGCCAACTATAGAGGATATCTAAAAACTATTACAAACACATCATATCTCTATTTTTCTTGCATGGTGCAAAATATATGTCAATCTTTTTGAATAATTCTGTTTACGATATCATTTTTAAAGGACCATATTTAATTGCACTCTACTGTACTGTAATGATTGATAAGATAACAAGTTGTACATTTTTAACGGCATTGAAATCTGGGGTAAGCTTTTGTAATTTAATACTGTATAATCACATCATCACGAAAAAATGTATGAATCATATATTCAGTATCATACATATTGATTTACATGTTCACATATATATATACATACATTTATTATAACTATTTATTTAATACATTTCATAATAATAACCATATTATATTGTACTATTTGTATACTGCATATAAATGCTTTAATAATTCTACACTCCTATATTACAACAATATTTGGAATAGAATTAATAATAATTAATAAAATAATAATTAATAAAAAATAGAGCGCCTGCCAGGGAGTGGGGGTGCTGCTGTCTTCTCGGTTGGTCGATGTTATGACTGAATATAAGTTTGTGAACTCAAGACTTCTCTGGGTTCGCTTTAAATTGGGACTGACGTAGTTATTCCTTTTGGCTGTTTATGCGCCGGTAGCTTCGTCGTCCAGGGCTGAGCTGGAGGAGTTTTGGGAGAATGTAAGAGAAGTTCTAGATTTGGCTAGGGGAAACGAAAGAATTGTTGTATGTGGTGATTTGAATGGATGGGTTGGTACCGCTCGACCAGGGTACGAGTCGGTACTTGGAAAGTTTGGTGATAAAAGGGTTAATGATGCTGGCAAGCTTATACTGGCGGTATGCAAGGAAAAGGGTCTTCTTGTGACAAACACTATGTTTAATCACAAGAAAATCCATATGTATACTAGAGAAAGAAAGAATGAGAGAAGTATGATCGATTTGTTCCTGGTGGATGACCGACTGCGAAAACAGGTTATGGATACGCGAGTGTTCAGGGGTGCTGACCTAGGAACGGATCACTATATAGTGATTACTAGATTTAGGGGTCTGTTCGTGGGTTGGCGCTACCGGACGGCAGTGACAGAACCACAGTCGGTATGTCACATCCGAAGCTGGAAGCTTCAGGATGCGGATACTAGGGATAAATATCATGCGAGGGTAGCCGAAAAGCTTGACACCATCGATGGCAGAAACGAATGTGTAGAAAGAACATGGCAGAACCTTAGGGATGGAATGGTAAGTGCAGCGGAAGAAGTGTGTGGAACAATAAAAAGAGGCAGTAGTAAAAGAAGAGATGCATGGTGGAATGATGAAGTGAAAGAAGCTGTAAAGAAGAAGAAGAAAGCATGGTTAGACTACTTGGCCTCTAGTAATGATAAGGATATGAGAGAGAAGATGAAAGAAAGATATAGGCTGCAGAAAGTTCACACGAAAGCATTGATTGAGGAAGTGCGTGAAAGGTGTAGAATGGAAGCGGACGAAAGGTTGTCGCACAACATTAAGGAGAACTCCAAACTCTTCTGGAAAGAGGTTGGAAGGACCCGAAGTGGTGCGACGGCCTTAAGAATGAACAAAGTGCTTTCGAGAACTAATGACGTCCTCTCAGAAAAATCGGACGTCATGCAGCCATGGAACGAATTTTATAGAGAAATGTATGCGTGTGATGATCTTAGTGAGGGATCCGGGGATGACGCCGGGACTGGTACGCCAGACCAGGACCTCGATGACACTGAGGTCATCAGTATGAAAGAGATTGAACGTGCGATTCGAAGTTTGAAATGTGGTGGACTAGACAGAGCTACTGCTGAAATGGTCAAATATGGTGGGCCTCGCGTCTGGGACAGCTTCCGTCTGCTGTGCAATTTGTGCTGGCGGACGGGGGATGTCCCGGATGATTGGCGATCCGCAGTCATTGTGCCTTTATATAAAGGTAAAGGTTCACATTTTGACTGCGGGTGCTATCGGGCGATCAGCTTGACCAGTTTAGCAAGTAAAGTTTACTCGAAGGTTTTGACACGTAGGATACAAAAGAAATCGGAAAGATCTCTATGGGAGGCACAATGCGGATTTAGACCTGAAAAAGGATGCACGGATCAAATGTTTTCTCTCCGCATGATCACGGAGAAGTTTCTGGCTGCTAACCAGAAGATTTTCTGTGCTTTTGTGGATCTTGAGAAAGCATTTGATAAGGTTGTAAGGAAGAAAATGTGGGAACTGTTGCCGGGGTATGGTGTGGATGGTCGATTGCTAAGGGCTGTGCAGTCTCTTTACTGTGACTGTAAAGCCTATGTGCGGGTAGGGCATGACCTGTCACCCATGTTTAGCGTCCAAACGGGCGTAAAACAGGGTTGTGTCATGTCTTCCTGGCTGTTCATACTGTATCTCGACAGCTGTTTACAAAAGCTGAAAGATAGCTGTTTGGGTGTGAAATTGGGTGACATAAAAGTAAATTGTCTGCTGTATGCTGATGATGC